TGTCTCACTCTGTCACCCCGGCTGGAGTGCGGTAGCACAATCTCCACTCACCGCAACCTCTGCCTTCCAGGTTCAAGTGATTCTCATGCCTCGGCCTCTCAAGTAGCTGGGATTACAGGTGCCTGCCATGACACGTGGCTAATTTTTGTATTTTCAGTAGAGACAGTGTTTCACCATGTTGGTCAGGCTGGTTTCCAACTCCTAACATCAAGTGATCCGCCCGTCTCAGCCTCCCAAAGTGCTAAAATTACAGGCGTGAGCCACCGCTCCGGCCTAATTTTTGTATTTTTAGTAGAGGCAAAATTCTGTCATGTTGGCCAGGCTGGTCTCAAACTGCTGGCCTCAAGTGATCCTCCCATCTTGGCCTCCCAAAGTAGTAGGATTACAGGCAGGAGCCAGTGCACCCGGCCATGATTTTTAATAACTGTACTGTTATTATGAACGTCATATGTACTGTCTATGAATGTTATGTTTTGGGAAATACATAGTGAAGTATTTAGAGGTAAAAGGGTAACTTTTGCCTCTAAATACTTTAAGTCTACAACTTACTATTAAGTAGTTCAGAAAATAGGTAATAACACATAGGAATATAAAGCAATGTCACAGAATGTCCACATTTAGAGAATCTGAGAAACCTTTGGCTTATTCTTGAAACTTTTCTGCAAGTCTGAAACTATATCTAAATATTTTTTAAAATTAGAGAACGTGTGCATGCGAATAGAAATGTAGGTAAATTCCCTGGGATTAGCTTCATGATGGCATTTTCCTTAAACACAGGGATGAAATGACGCAAGCCTGCATGGGCAGTAATATTGGTCTTCTCAAAATGTTTTCCTCACAGAGCTTCTGTTTTAGAATACTGGGAAAAAAAAAAAAAAAAAAAAGCCATTTTGAAGGCTCTCTCAAGACCAGCTCATTAATCAAGTTCTACAGAAGCGCCAACATAATCAAGCCCTTTTCACTGCAGATTTGTGCTATTTTTTTCTCAGTGAAAGTCAAAGCCTCCTGACACCATGAGTAGTTGATGATGTCGTAGCAACTTTTCTGGAATACTAAGCTAAAAAACAGCTTTTCATTTAAAAACAATAACGGGATGAAACAGTCTTGGTGGAAAGCCTCAGCCTCCACTCTGCCTCATTGAATTCTTGAGATGTTAAGTCCTGGGCTGGGGATCAGTGGGTCAGTTGGTCCCACACTGCCTTCAAGTCCATTCCTGCGTGCATTTGAAGAGATGCTGGCTGAGAACGCTCCCTCTTAAGCAGGCAGCAAATTAAAGAGACTTGCAGGGTTGATGGTTCTTTGTCATACACATCTCATCTTTCTAGTGCGCTACACTTTACAAAAAGCTCTTGTGTATTATTTTGTTTCATCCTTTCCCTGAAGTGATTTAAAAAAACAAAACCCTAAAATTTAGTTTAACAGCAATACTACAAAATATCCAGTTTTAAAAACTGGGATGCACTATAACATCTGCCCTTGGCTCTGATCTAGTTGGAAACAGGACTTACCCAAGCAGATAAACACCTTGTGACAGAATACACTAAATGAAAAAAGTAGCTACATGAGTAAGGTGGTTAGGTAAATAATTCTATAAGGAGCTCAGTAGAAATACAATGTTCTTTTCTCTTTGAATTTGTCCACATCCATTTCTTTAAGCCTTATCTTCAAGGCAAACTCTACCAAGTAGCTCTGGTTTCACAGGCGTGTTTACAAGACATCACAGGGAATGAAGGATGAGGCCTGTTCACATGCAACGCTACCCCTGGGGCAGACAGCATCAAGAGGTCTCCTGGCACCGTTGCTCCAAAAGACCAACCACACTGACCTTCTCACGTGCGCCCCATCATTCATGTTTCTTCAAAGAAAACAGTAAATTAGCAGTCCACACTTCAGCAAAGAACCCCCAAAACAAAGGCCCTAGCCTATATTCAAAAACAAAATTTCCCTTAAAGAAAGCATGTTTTCAACCAAAGAAAAATTAGGCTCAATTCTAGGACAACCGATAGCAAACAATTCTACATGCACTGGCCAATCCCACAGCACCTACATTCCAAAACAAACTCAGGCTCTGCTCTCACCTTTTAGAGATAAGAACCAGAGTTAGCAAGCAGCAGAACCATGATTCACACCGAAGTCAACCCACTCTCTCCTCAATCCCACTGGCTTCCCCATGGTCCACACAACCCACTGGGAACGATGAACCCGTCAGAATTTCTCTTCAACACCCAAATCTACCCCACCCCCATTCCCTTGGTTTAAATGCCCTGGGGGCAGGTGACAAATCAAATTCCATTCTTAGGCAGCTTCCCAACAGAAGACACATTCAGTGGCAAAGCAAAAGAGGAGAAAATGGGTTCTAATACCTTTAGGTCTATCTTACCCAGAGGAACGTTTTCATGGTCCGGCATTATGGATGAACTCAGGGCAGGAAGAACCCATCATTATGTAATGTCAGGGGGCAGGCGACAGGCGGAGGGAGGCGAGCCCATCAACACTCCCTTCCTTTGCCCACAAAGACACAAATTTACCTCTGACATTTCGAATGTCTGTCTTCTGGGGCCTACCCATTCCTGGCTGGCTTTTCAAGAGACAGCCACAGATCCCTGCATATTTCTCAGGCCTCAATTAATGGACAACAAAGCCAGAAAGAAATAAAATATAGAAAGCAAAGATGCTAGAAATGTTGTCGAGGTCTAAGGGCGTGCAGAAAAGGGAAGAGTTTCGAGGATGGAGACCAGATTTCCTACACGGAGATGCATGCTTACTTTTACCCGGTTATGTTTACACCTAAAACACCGCAAGGCCTCCGGCGTCAGGAGCCCGTAGACCCAGCCCTGGAGCCGCACAGGGCAGGCGCTGCGACTGCATCCCGCGGACCCACGCCGGCTGGGTACCCGGCCCCCTGCCGGGGCGGCCAGGTCCTCACAGGGCTCGGGGTCGGCCGGGTTCGAATTGTTCTCAAAAGACGCCACCGCAGGTAGACCACTGGCACCGCTAAGCCGTGCAATTTCCATGACAACCGCGGGCACCGTCCCCGTCCGGCCCAGCGGGGACCAGGACGCGCCCCCCACGCCTGTTGTCAGTCCCTGGCCCCGGCTTCCGCGGCGGCCGCGTAGCCTCCGGCCCGGCCCGACCCACGTACCTGGCGCTTCCCGGCCCCCGGCGCCAGCTGCCCCGCCGTCCCGCCGGGCCGAGTGCTGGAGCCCCGCAGCAGCAGCGCTGCTGCCTGGTTGTGAAGTCACGGGCTGCGGCCCCGACCTCAAGTGCTGGTCCTCCCGCCCGGGCCCGAAGAACCTGACCCGGCCGCGAACCACCCGCGCGCGCCGCAGACCTAGCCAGCCGCCGCCGCTCTAGAGGCCGGGCGCAGCCCCGCCCAGGCCCCGCCCCCTCGCCGCGCACGCGCGCTGAGGCGCGGCCCGCGCCTTGCGACCCCCGCCCCGGGAGCGGCCAGAGCTGGGTCGGCCTCCCGAGGCAGAGGGGCGGGTGACCGAGCTACCCGCGCCAATTCCTACTTCTGGGTTCCCAGAAGATCCCACCCTATCCTGTGACTGCTTCACTTGCAAGGAGTTCTTGAACTTCTGGACTTGACTGAGCGACTTCATCTTCACCCTGTCATTCACTGCTTCTGAAGCCCTGACGGATCCCCAAGGGAAGGTTTCCTGGAGGAGCTGCGACCCGGGGGCGCGCCCCCAACCTTTTGCCCTCCGGACAAGAGCACTTCCTGAAGTGCAGACTTACTCCCCAGGAGATGTTTAGGAAATCGAACATTCCAACCAGACACAAGCAAAAAATTAAAATCTTAATACTTTGAAAATACAGACTGGCAAAAAGAAGAGGATTGCTAACCTCTGAGTTTATGTCCTTCCAGACCTATTCTGGCCTGTGTCCATAAGTGTGCACTAAACAGACTTACAGCAAACATCAGTCCTTACACTTTGCTCCCAAATTTCCATTTTTCTATAGAGAAAAAGAGTAATCAGAAGTTTTGGAAGAAATTTTTCGCTTTCATTTGACTTTAAAACAACATTTCGGTCGGGTGCGGTGGCTCACGCCTGTAATCTCAACACTTTGGGAGTCCGAGGAGGGCAGATCACCTAAGGTCAGGAGTTCAAGACCAGCCTGACCAACATGGAGAAACCCCGTCTCTACTAAAAATACAAAATTAGCCAGGCATTGTAGCACACGCCTGTAATCCCAGCTACTTGGGAGGCTGAGGCAGAATTACTTAAACCCGGGAGGCGGAGGTTGCAGTGAGCCAAGATCGTGCCATTGCACTCCAGCCTGGGCAACGAGAGCAAAACTCCGTCTCAGAAAAAAAAAAAAAAAAAAAAAAATTATCCCTGAGCAAGGGTAAATACTGAACTGAACATATCCTTATCTTTGAGTTTCAACATTTTATCCGAAAAAAATATTCTTAGAACTATTTTAATTCAATAAACCATAATACTTCTCAGGCAGAGCATTTATACATAAAGTTTGCTTCAAAAAGAAAAGAGATTGGCCGGATGTGGTGGCTCATGCCTGTTATCCCAGCATTTTGGAAGGCTAGGGTGGGCGGATCATGAGGTCCGGAGATCGAGACCATCCTGGTCAACATGGTGAAACCTTGTCTCAAAAAAGAGAAAGAAAGAGATTAACCAGTTAGGAAGGGAAATTAAACAAGTATTCTCTGATATCATTTAGAATTAGGTCTGATTCTCCTCAGGTACCAAAAACCAAATACAGACAATAGTCTGGAATAAAACAAATGTAAAACCAGTTTTTTGGGGAGCCTGAGGCAGGAGCATCAGTTGGGCAGAGGAGTTTGAGGCTACAGTGCCAACCTGAGAGACAGAACAACACCTTGTCTGAAAGAGAGAGAGAGAGAGGGAGGGAGGGAGGGAAGGAAGGAAGGAAGGAAGGAAGGAAGGAAGGAAGGAAGGAGGGAAAAAAAAGAAAGAAAAGATAGATGCCCTAGTTTTAAATTTTTATTTCTTTTCTGACGTTTTATTTCTCTTCTGAAAAGTAACTTAGTAATAAAACAGTTCCTTCTTATTGTTTCTGCAGCTAAGTGGAAGGAAATATTGACAGAACCTTGACTCCACAGTACAAAGTTAAAGCCAAGAAAATCAAATTTGTAGAAATGCAAAAATACTTTTATATTTTATTTTTTTAATTACTGTGACCAATTAGTTTGCTTGGAACAGCCCCAGTTTACATATTTTTGCCAGCAAAATTATTAATAGAATCCTGTTTCACTCTCAAAAGCATTCTGTTCAAACAATAAATTTTATGGCCATGCTATTGGTAATCAAGCTAAGAGAGTTGTTAAACACTAACTTTTAAAAAAGAAAAAAAATTAAATTTATAAAGATTTAAAAATAGACATCAGTCTAATTTCAGTATTCATTTAGTACAGTAACACCCTGAAAGAGGATCAGCTTCCAATAACATTTGTCACTTGACTATTATGTAATTATGGATAATCTTCAAAGATCAATCATGTTTTCAGTGTGGCAAAGAATGAGGCCCTAATTCCACTGTAGAATGAAAATTATCAAGGGAAAAGGGTGCCCTGTGTTAGTTAATACTGTAAAAGGAAAATAAAATTAATCTTGGGACCCCCAAACTCACTACTCCAAAGGAAATAGCTAAGCTTGGGAACTGAATCATACAAAAAAAACTGCCTTTCTTTTGTTCCTAAAGAGAGAGCTGCAAGATAGAAGGCCACATATATCCCCAGGTGACCTCCCTCACCCTGACAATGTAAATTAACAGCTTATCTTCACAGGAATGGGACAAAGACAAGACAAGAATCCTTCCACGCACCCCAAGACAAATGTATATTTGACCTCTTCCAATACTCTCTGTTTATTTATCTTACATAAAATGCATAACTCACTGTTCCTCTTTCCCCTCCTGCCCATTCTTTCCTCTTTAAATACTGAAGTTTCCAAAACCCTCTTGGGAAAAAGCACAGGCCACAGATCCTACTGTAGTTTGTGTCTCTTTTTCCCAATTGCATCCTCAACCTTAGCAAAATTGACTGAGATCTGTCTCAGACACTTTTTAATTTACAATACGATGCTGTATCTTCCCTAAGCATCACAGCGATAGAAGTATGCTGGTGGTAAAGTATCCCAGTCCTTCAGAAGTTCTCAACATGGGGTCCCTAACCAGTAGCATCAGCATCCTCTCAGAATTTTCAAGAAATGCAAATTCCCAGATCGTACCCCAGATCTACTGAATCAGGAACTCTAAAAGTGTGGCCAAATTACCTGTATTTTAACAAGCCCTCCAAGGGATTCTAATGAACATACTGATTTAAATGATCTATACACAGGAAGTAAGCTAATTTAGATTATCTATGCACAATAATTAAGAGGTGAGCAGTATTATTTTCAGGACTAGAACCACCCTATTTGAGAATTTCTCTTCAGGCCATTTAACATGATATTTTTGTAGGCATACAGTCAGCTCTCCATATCTGTGGTTTCCGCATCCATGTATTCAACCAAACCACAGATCAAAAATATCTGGCAAGGCCGGGCGCGGTGGCTCAAGCCTGTAATCCCACCACTTTGGGAGGCTGAGGCGGGTGGATCACGAGGTCAAGAGATCAAGACCATCCTGGTCAACATGATGAAACCCCGTCTCTACTAAAACTACAAAAAATTAGCTGGGCATGGTGGCGCGTGCCTGTAGTCCCAGCTATTCAGGAGGCTGAGGCAGGAGAATTGCCTGAACCCAGGAGGCGGAGGTTGCGGTGAGCCGAGATCGCGCCATTGCACTCCAGCCTGGGTAACAAGAGCGAAACTCCGTCTCAAAAAAAAAAAAAAAAAAAAAAAAAATCTGGGAAAAAAAATTGCATCTGTACCAAACTTGTACAGACTTTTTTTCTTGTCATTATTCCTTAAACAATAGAGTATAACAACAATTTACATAACATTTACATTGTATTAAGTACTATAAGTAACCTAGAGATGACTGAAAGTATACAGGAGGATCTGCATACATTATATGAAAAAACTACACCATTTTTTATATAAGGGACTTGAGCATCCATGGATTTTAGTATCCACCAGACATCCTGGAACCAACTCTCCATGGATACTGAGGGATGACTACACAGAATATGTGTAACCTTGAGGCCAGGCACAGTGGCTCACACCTGTAATCTCAGCACTTTGGGAGGCCGAGGTGGGAGGATCACTTAAGGTCAGGAGTTTGAGACCAGCCTTGCCAACATGATGAAACCCGTCTCTGCTAAAAATACAAATATTAGCTGGGCATGGTGGCATGTGCCTGTAATCCCACCTACTCAGGAGGTTAAAGCTTAAGAATCACTTGAACCCAGGAGGCAGAGGTTGCAGTGAGCTGAGATGGCACCACTGCACTCCAGCCTGGGCAACAGAGTGAGACCCTGTCTCAAAAAAAAAAAAAAAAAAGAAGAAGAAGAAGAAGAAAGAATATGTGTAACCTTGAAAACCAACAGCCCCGTAGCCATAGCAGCCACTGGAGGGGCAAAAAGGATATGGAGCACCTGAAAGAGCCCCATCCCCAGAGTCTTGTCACTATTTGACTCGTCTGGCAACTTCCCGGAAAAGCTGCACTCCCAGGGTTTGTCTTTAATTGGCATAACTCAGAGCTTGCCCTGTGCAAATGGCCCTCTCCTCAGGGCATTGTTGAAAACAATCGGTAACAACTGTTTAACATTACAGCAGCCTCACTTAGTGACACCAGTTAGAGCTAACAACAGGCTGACTGAAAAACTTGAAAAAGAAAAATGAAGAATGAGATGTCCATGGGGAGGGGGCATTAAAAAGATTTAACATTCACTTCATCCACTTGATTGTTCAGGAAAAATAAAGATAGATAGATATATAAAGATTTAACATAAGTTGCCTGGCAGCACATGCCTATAGTCCCAGCTAAGGAGGCTGAGGTAGAAGGATCATTCGAGCCCAGGAGTTTGAGGCTATAGTGTGTTATGATTGCACCTGTGAATAGCCACTGGACTTCAGCTTGGACAACATAGCAAGATCTCATCTAACGGAAAAAAAAAGATTAACATGTTTCTGGAAATCTGAGAAGGCCCAAGTTTTACTTCTGGCTAATCTTGAGTATTTGAGCAAGCAGGATGTGAAGGCTGAGACAAAGTTGTGAACTGTCTGCCTGAAAATTGAAGGCATGCATTAATATGCACACATAGCCTCGCCACAAACAAAGGAAGATAGAAATCTTTGATGCTAGCATTGGAGGAATGCTAGAGCATTCCTCTCATCGTTAGTGAACAATTAAGCTGACTACAAATGGCTACAGTGACATATCAGTGACTACAAATGACAAAGAATACAGACTTCACAAAATTAGTCA